GATTTCGCGTGATTATGCGCCGCGGCTCAGCAAGGCGAGGCGTGAACTTCTTACAAAAATACACATACAAAGACTCACAGAGAAAGCCAAGTCAAAAAATTAAACTTGAAAATAACTTAAAAGAGATACATTTTGTGTATCTTACAGATAGAGAACACTTGTGATGATGCTTGTAGTGCTCGTACTAGCAGCTAGCTGAGCTTTTGCTCCTTTTGCTGCCATTCAAACAGCCAACAACTATCGTGGCCCCATACCTAAGTGCTTATTGTTGTCATTTGGCCGAATGGCGAGACGAGAGTAGGGCGAAAAGTTTACGCGTTGGCGAAAATTATGCAAATTATAATGAAAAACTTGACACTTTACATGCAAAGGCACAGCAATAAGAATGGGAACAACAACAGCAACAACAGCAACAGCAACAGCAATGGCCCCCGACGATGAGCCGGACAAAGACAAAAGGCGTGGGTCGGAATCGGGCCGAAAGAATGAGGGTCTCAGTTCGTGCTGATGTGAATCTTGTGGCAGGCGATTAAGCGCACCAAATGAAGCGCTCGCACTGCCTGCGCATTTTAATTAAGCAACCATCCAAATAGTCGTCCTTGTTCCTTCTGCCATTGTTGTAGTTGTTGATGTTGTTGTTCAACGGCAAGACCGAAAAATGGCGCAAAAGTTAGTAAAAACAACAACAACAACAACAACAACAGCAACAGCAGAAGCAACAACAACAATGAAGACGGCAACCCGAAAACTGAAAACTGAAAACCGAAAAGCCAAAAAATGTCGAGCCGCTGCATTTGCATAAACTTTTGCCCTGACTTGCACCTCAGCTGCCATATCCCTCTGAAAGTACTCGCAACAAAAAGTTGCAAGAAATTTGCACATTTTTATTGTAACTACATACAAACATATGTACATACATACACATATGCAAATACTTGAATTTTAAACAGAGCTTACTGCCTGTTTAAAATGAAAGATAGTAGCGATATAAAAAAGTAATTTCATAGTGCATATTTTTTATTTATTAATTAATAATAATAATCAATCTATATGTATACTCATATATGTATACTGGTTCTTTAAAAAATGTGTATTTTATTAATCCATAAATTTCTTAATTTGTTGTTCTATACTTGTATATATGCACATTTGTTGCCTAAAAGTTTATCAATGTTTTAAGCTAAAAATCCATCAATCTAGGAATAAATAAATTGGTCTTCTATTAATGTAGATATTAGTCTGTTTTATAGTCAATCAATCCACCGATCTTTTCGATCTCCTAATACAACCACCTAATGATTTCTAGATAAATCACTTGATTCATAAATCCATCAAATCCTTTAGTTTTGAAGCCCATTAACCGTTTTCAATTGAGTTCTAGAAACTTCGATTGATCAATCAACCTATTTTAATACATTATCATATAAGGCGTATATCAATCAAAACAGAAAGGATCGCATTGCATCAAGTTTCAACTGCATATGACAAGCATCAGCATTTATAATTATTTTAACTGCATATTAAAGAAATGTGATCTCATCCATCCATGATCTCATGGCATCAAATATAAGGAACATACAATATATACATCTATAGATTTTTAAAATCTATTATTACAACAACCTAACAATTTCGGTAGGAATCTATTTGTTCAGCAATCCATCAACTTTTCTTAAATCTGAAAATCTATCAATCAATGAAAAACTATAAATTAATTTATATTACTATAAGGCTATATATTAAAATCCATAAAAATAATAACCCATCCTAATAAGATACTATATTTATTTACAAATCATTAATATTTGTCGTCAATTTATAAATACTCGTACAACAAATATGCCTCGTTTTCGAGTCTCAGACATACATATAGTATTACATTTTTAGGTTATTCAATCCACATGAACTTCTTCGCTTGAGTTGCCTCAACCAGCTGCTGCTTCCAACCTTAACACCTTCTTGTACAGTACGGACAGCGACATAATATAGGTCCCATAGCCATCACCATACAAAGCAAAACGATGCCCCTTACATTCATCTTCTCGCTCGCTGACTCAATTCCAAACTCTTTCTTTTCAATCGAAACATGGAAGACATTAGGCAACAAATATTTAAATACCAATTATAATTTTTATTTACACGCAAAGAATCGGTTATCCATGCAAGTATAGCTGATAAAATTCGATGGGGCTGGAATTGTTATGAATAACCACGACTAAAATCTCAAGTTATTACAAATTTAAGACTAACATTATATAGTATAGTCCGATTGATGATAGACAAGGTGCCCTATATATCAATTGATATATATCTATATAGAATAGAATGCTTACACAAAGATCTAAGAATTCCTTAGCCCTTAATCTAACAGATAATATTCTAGCAGCAGAAGATTCTTAAAATAATATCCAATCTCGGCGTCCCAAATAGATAAATCAAATAGAATAAACTTTAACATAGCATAGAAAATAAGTAAAATATAATAGTAGGCTTCACATAGATCTTTCGATCTTTCATTTTAAGCCTCTGATTACAGTTACATATGATCACCATGGCGAGACAAATTCATATACTAATGTCGTTTGTTCTCCTCTTATTACTCTTCTCACACATAATTGTAAAGCTATCGTAATGAAACTGATTATAGGGAATACTATTTGAGGGACATATAGGAGATAATATGTTTTTCACGAAATCTATTCTATTCTATTTATACCTTTTCTTTATAAGAGTCTAATTTGTCAGCTTTACGTTGTTAGAACGGCCAAATCAGATGACTACTTATATGCACAGTTCTGTCTGTTATGCTCCCTACACAGTTTAAAATAAATCGGTTCCAACAACTATCGTTTATATTCGTTCTTAAAATAAACACACTTTCGTTTTTTGTAATGTAAACATGAATAAGTTCTAGAATTTATTTATTTATTAGCCCTTTCCCTTCACTTACTTGCTTCCCCTACTTCTTCATTTCACAACGGCCCAATACCAGTACCAACAACAACATAGTCTTACAAATTATAGAGAAAAATTACCTCAACGAAAGGGTTTCCGCAACTGTATAACCTTTGACACAAACTGTACCTGCACCGAAGCGACCCTGCGAGAAACAAAAGCAATTAGATAACAACAACAACAACAGCAACAACAAGAGCAGCAGCAGTAATAGTAGCAACACCATTGCAATCGCTTCGGTGCTGCTGTGATTGTGCGGGTGTCGCACACAGAGACCCACTAAAAAGTTTTTCCAACGCGATTTTCTTGCTGAAACTATAAATTTCCAACCACAATCATGGCCGCCGTGGAGCCGCCGCCAGTGTGCCGTTATGTACACCATTTTCGTTGTTATGCGTAGGTGTGTGAGTTTTCGAGAGTTCGAGTGTGCCGGTGTGTGTGAGTGTGTATGTGTGTGTGTGCGTTAGTGTATTAAAAAGCATTCAAGTGAACCTGCTCTCGTGTTTCGTTATTTGGGTGGCAAAGTCAACTCGAAGTTGGTGGTTTTGGTTGCCTTACTGGTTGCCTGCCGGCCCGTCCCGGTTGTTTGGTTTGGCGGCTCGGTTAGGTGAGCTGACAATTTGGAACGTTTGCTTTTATTGTTGCTCATTTTTATTGCTGTTGTTGTGTAGTTTTATAAACTTTTCTCGTGCTGTTATTGTTGCTGTGTGGATGCTTGTCAGCATTTGGCAATTGCAAGTGTGTTAGTTTGTCACATCCCCTTGTCAGGCTAGCCATGTGGGGCATTTATCAAAGGGTACAAAGTTATATTAGACACGGATTTCAACTGGTAGCAGTTTAATTATCGTTATTAGCCAGCACGTTTGCAAAAGCTAGCTTGTCAAAGCCTCTTTAAACTTTATTTATATCCGCTTACACCAGGCGGAAAGTACTGGAATACGAAGCATGGCTTCAACAAACAACAAGATGTTCGATATGCGTTTCCCCTACTTGTGCAAATAAAAGCAGTTTACAGATATTTACGAAATTGTAGTTTCCGGAAATCGGACTATTATTACAATTCCCTCAATTTGTTGAGCCCAAAAATGAATTTAATTTGTTTCTATATGTTTACATGGTTTGATGTAAGCTTGAAGCTTCACATCCCTCGATGCTCATGTGAAGAATCAAGTGGGATTCCTGTTAGCTCGTTGAGCTACTCCAGGCCCCTAAATATTTTTACCAGCGATTTTCAACCACAGTTTGTTCTAGTATATTTCGAGATTAATATAAATATTTTCAATTTAAAGTGTGGCTATATTTAATCGTCGTTTCTATTTAGTTTTTATTTAATAGTTTTGATTATGGCATTTTGTAATGCATATTATATTTATATACATTTATCTATGTATATATAAAAATTTGTATTATTATAAATATCGGAATTCTTCCGCTATTTATTAGCTTAGATAAAATATATATTTATATGTATATTAAAAGTATATTAAATACACTTGGGAATTCAAGTCAATGCTTGTCTCTATTTTACATTTGAAAATATTCGAATTAACTATTAATAATATTGATGTGTAATACAATTCTAGCATAATTAAATCAACTACAAAAGACTTTTAAAAATTTACTATGGAATATATTAAATGAAACTATTTATTATTTAAATTTATATTAAAATTAAACATGGTTCAACATTAAATTGAGCATGAAACACTGTAACGACAAAAATTTAACTTTGTTTTGAATATTATTCACATTTAAATCAGTAATGAAATATGTTTTTAATTAAATATACGTTGTTAGAAAATATTAGAAAATTGAATTAAATATGAATGAATTCATTTTTACTATGAAATTTTGTTTAGTGTAGATTTTGTATTAGTAACAATTTAGAGAAATTCGCAATGGAAAATGCTCTTAAATAACAGCGTTCTTTGTAGCTTGGAAAGTAGGCCTTTCAACAGTTTCGTACCTTAAAAATTATCTTTTTTCTCCTATTTCTGTCTAGAGCACATAGTTTCAAAATTAAAATGTTTGCACGCGTCCCCACCATGAAGCGCATGACCTGGGCCCTGCATTTGGCCAAACAACCCGTTCGGTGTTATAGCAAAAAGAAAGGACCCGATCCGCCCAAGTGTGATTGCAAGAAGACCGGTGTATGTAACTGCGGTCCCAACTGCAAATGTCCCGACTGCCCTTGCAGGAAGAAACAATTGAGACCGTGTCGCAATGGACCCAGCCCGCCCACAGATCGGGACCCACCTAACGGCTATGCACCAGAAGGCGTAACGAATCCGGCCTTTAAGTTACCAAATTTCGTCAGCCCCGCAGTTATTCGACCACTTAAAGAGTCTGAGGTACTGGGACCCCATGCAGGAAAATGTGATACGTATAAGAATCCTGAATTCTTTAGCTATCACCGCTTTTCCTATCTTGAGCTGAAGGAGTTGACCAATAAGCTTCGGGCATGCTCCGCGTCCCCTGCCAAGAGCGGCAAGTGAGCCGACAAACACTTCAATCATTATGCCACTTCTTTTCTATTGAGTCCAACAACATGGACAGGACTAAGTCGTTGCCGGCATTATGACACTAATCGTATTAGTTCGTCGTTAGTTAGGCGCTATCTGCGACGCGCACAGCGCTTTATGCGATTTCCTCACAATGAGAGCATGCCTCGTTTCCGGTTTACGTGCGCCATTTTTCGTTTAGGTGACATAATGACCCGAAGCCGGACCTGGAGCCGGAGCTGGAGAGGTTGCCTGCACCGGACCCAGCACAAGAGCTGTATCCATCTGCTGTGAGATGACAATGGGCGCTAACGTGCACGTAATTAGAGCGAGACGTGTGGAGAGTGCGATGACAAAGGCGCCAGCTACATATTCAAGTATATATGTACCTGGTCAGCAACTTTGTAATTTACGAAATCGGTTTAGTGAGCGCGACGCGCTGCACAAGTTGGTTTATTAAGTTTACAAACATTAGCCTCTTAGTTACACTTCGCAGCGACTTAAGTTGAACGAAGCACAATTTCCTTGTACAGCGAGAGAAAGACAGGTCTCATTAGTTGCAGCTCGGCCAGGTGACATATACTTGTAAGCATCTCGAAAGCCGTCCATTGATTGACGGAGGCAGCCAAAAGGAGCAACTAAAGCTGAACAACCTCGCACAGTGGACTCTGAGATGCGAAACTGGACAGAAACGTTAATTTTCAGTTGGCCTACTACCCGAAATAAATAATAACAAATAATTACAATTGTCATTACCTCTTTGTGTCTTTATTAAAGCTGAAAGAACTGAAAATAATAATCTTAGTAGATACTGGAATATGGACATTAAAAATATTAGCTGTTCGAGTCGACTTTTACGATTTTGCATACGGAACACAATTTTCAATACACGACCAAATCAAGTTCTCTGTCTCTCAAATTCAAAATATGTTCTACATTGATTCATCACTACCTAGCAACTGCCAAATCTGCTGCCAACCTATTCAAAAATCAGGCGAACATTTACTTAACAATAGTTCAAGTGCTCAAGATATCAGAAAACAAGTCTTTGATTATATTGATCCCTTACTCCTTATATCCCAACCAACTCCCCAAAACATTACATTAATCTTGAAGTCCTTAAAACTGAGTACCGTATTCTACTAAATCTAATTCCTACCATTAAAACTCTCCATATCTACTTTTTGGGGTCCTTCTGCCTGATACAGACCCAATATACCCTTTCTACCCTTCAGATATAGGATATAATGAGAGTACATTGTAGGTATTTCATTTTAAATTATCTACATTTCACATATCAGCTAAGTAACCATACCCTTTAGTATCAAATTTGTTTTTGGACATTTACAAGCACACAAAACAAAAAAAATTTAGGTAATTTTTCGAACAAAATTCCCATTTCTAAAACCTGTCCAGAATGTCGCTACGCCAATGTACAATCTGTGTAATGAAGCAACTCAATAGTCCGTTTGTGCGATCCAATCTAATAAACAGAATAGGATTGCCAGCTACATCATTCGCATCTCTGCATGCACGAATGTTCAGTGATGACAAAGAAATCAAAAAGTGTATGGAAAAAGCAGCTCAAAAGAAGAAATGCAAAGAAGAGGCTCTAAAGAAAAAGTGCAAGGAAGCGGCGCAAAAGAAAAAATGTGCGGAAGAAGCGCAAAAGAAAAAGTGTCAGGAAGAGGCTCTAAAGAAAAAGTGCAAGGAAGAGGCTTTGAAGAAAAAGTGCGCCGAAGCGGCTCAAAAGAAAAAGTGCGAAGAGGCGGCTAAAAAGAACAAGTGCGGAGGAGCGTCTAAAAAGAAATAAAAATGAGAAGGGTGCACGGAACTGTCACTGAAAAAAGTGCGAAGAAGCGGCTAAAAAAAGAAGTACGAGCAAAAAGATCAAACTAAAAGTCAAGAAACTGGCATTACAGAAAAAGTGAAAGAAACAGTTCAAAAGAAAAAGTGCGTAGAAGTGCTTCAAAAAGCAGGAAGGAAGCAGCTTAAAAGAAAATCGAAAAGAAGCTCCAAAAAGAAGATGCAAAAAAAGAGTAAAATAAAAAAAGCTGAAAGCAGAATAAACATTTGAAGGATTGGCAAAGAAAGGGGAACATCAAGGTTTTGGACAACATTTTATTGATATACGTATAAATAGAATAATAAAACCATCAGTATATACCATACACACACACACATACATATGTATGTACTTGAATACATAGTATATGTTTTTGAAAGCATTGCCAAGAGCAGTTAGTGAATATCCGTCTGAAACTTTTCATTTTATAGCCCTCTTCTCTACGTAAAAGAACAAGTTCTTCAAGAGTTTGTTTTTTAGGTACATGGGTTAAATCTTGCACCACTGTAAAATGTACCGACATACAAGTATAGTATTAAAGCTGAATGTTGTAGCCATGTGTGTCTTTGAAGAGGAAGATGCTGCTGGGGAAACATAATTGAAAACCATTGACAGCTGATGTGTAGGTCATGCTGAGAGTTCGACTCGACTGCCTTCTCCATTATGTCCTTCCCTCTTGCTTCCATACATTAGTGTAGGTTTTTTGCAAATGCTTACAGCACAATTTATCAGTTCTAATCGCATGCAAATTTTATGCAGGCCCCAGCATTAGCCGAAGTCAAACAGCATTTGTTTTCTGTTGGGGTCCCAGTTACGAGCATGTGTTTGTTCCATGTTAGTTTTGTTAACAACTCTTGGCTGGCACACATTGTGGTAGTTTTTGGACTAACGGCTTGCGTTAATCACATGGCACGCTTTATGGACACCACAAAGTTTTGTGCGGCGACTTAGCCGCGACATTTGCATTTTGTTGACATCATTTTTGCTGTATTGCTGTATTGCTGAAGCACAAAAGGCTCAAAAAGCAGCAGAGCAAGAAACATTTCCATAATTAATGACCCAGTCTGATTTGTGTGTGGGGGACATTGCTGTTTATACACCCCTGTAGATGGCTTAACTAAATACTACAGAGTGTAGAATAAAGTTATGATGAGCTACATTGTCTCGCAAAATTGGGACGAGCTTGAAGCGGAAGTGTGCTGAACCAGCACAATAAGAGTGCTCAAAAGCATAATTACTAGCTTTATTGCTCAATTTCGCTTATCATGGATTGAAAAAAATGCAATTCAGAGAAAGCTACTGAGCTATTTGGTTATTCAATATTTATGCTTCAATGGCCCAGCACAACAAAATATTAGTACATAGTACCTACACTAAAGTTAACCAATATCCCACATACATTTTCGATTTTAGAAACAGGAGACCACTTATACAAATTCTGGAACTTCAGAAATTCAGGGTGTTTGTCTTGGCCCATACATTTTCGAAGTGAAAGTGCTTATGTGAGGGCCTTGAATGCTGAATCGACAACATTTTTTGTGACGAAACCAATTTTTGTAGTGGACTTTCTTCTAGTCATTGTTCGAGATTTTTTCCATTTCTAATTATAATTGTGTTTCTAGCCATTTTTTAACCCACAACGTTAAACATTTTCTAGCCCTTCGTCACTGAGTTATATGCGCCCATAGCAGCAGCAAAAAGAGGAAGAAGAAGAGCGAACTTGTTGCTGCAGTTTGGGGGGTTGTACTGGCGAGAATTTGTTTTGCTAATAACTTTTCTTAGAATTGACCGAATTGAATAAAATTTTCAACAACAGTAGATAATTATATATATATATGATGTGTGCAAGTTTGGTTTAGGAAGCATTTGAAATGTGGACGCTATTGACGAAATTCTGTAGGGGGGAAGGGAAGCGGGAGGAAATTAAAAAAAAAAAACTCGTCCTTTCTCGGACCTAGGAGAATCTGGATGCCAACTTTGGTTATTCTAGCTTTTATGGTTTCTGAGATTCTTGCGTTCATCCAGACGGACGGACAGACGGACGGGCATGTCTAGATCGATTTCTCTCGTCATGCTGATTCAGAATATATACACTTTATGGGGTCGGAGATGCTTACTTCTGTATGTTACATACTTTGCACAAACCTAATATACCCTTTTTACCCTACGGGTACAGGGTATACAAAATTAACTCAAACTAAATTACTCCAATATGCCCACTTGGTTTCATTTCTGACACACACATTTTTTTATAATACACCTCTAGCTATACCATGAATATTTGAAAAATAATTTTTTAATTACTTGTAGTACATGGTCGTGAATGACCAGCAAATCCGTATATTTCGAGAACAACTCAACTCTTTCCTCTACATTTTAAAATACTTTAAATGATGTCACCGTGTGGCTTTTTACCTTTTTGTCACCTCAAATTCCCTAACGCTAATTTCCGTTGCGATTGCTCCCGATACGTTTTTTCACCACCTACTCGTATGTGTCAATAAAAATGATCAATCATGTTACATGTGACTGACTACTACGAGTGGTGGTTTGTGGCGAGTTTTTATGGTTTCAAGCGTTTTGATGGCCTGCACTTATAATACAGGGGAAATGCGCTTATCATGTAAGCTTGACGCGTTTCTATGAATTTCCCACAATGGATCAAAGGGAAGAAGTCGTGAAAAATAAATAGGAAATTGAGTAGTGCTTGGCAAGCATAAGGCATTGAATATTGATGGATGTGGACGTTGATGGCTTAGCTTTAAAGCAAAGCTTAAAGCCAACAATTGCAGTTGTGTGTTGCCCATGGAGAGGCAACCAAATTACACTCGACAACAAAGTTTGCGAAGCACGTAGCTAGCATAGCCAAAAGCAGAAGCAGAAGCAGCAGCAACCACCAGCACCAGCAGCTGCTGTTGTCAATGCTAAACTTTTGCAAATAAATTTTAATTGTTTTGAACAATTAAAAATTACATTTGAAAATACCGAAAATATATATATATATATATTTATATATATAGAGTACTATACGAACGTACGTGAAGACCGACAAACAATTTTATACGTTTATTCAATTTTCGCCAAATGTTCAAGTACATGCCAGTGCGTTTGTATTGGTGTGCACGTGTATGTGTGTGTGTATGAGTGTGTGTGTGTGTGCATGAATTTCCAAATGCTGCTGCTGCTGCAGCTAAACAAATTAAATTAGACAAGTTTTATTCATTCGTTTGACATTTTTATTTGTTTTCAAACTAATTTTGTATGGCAGCAAAGTGAAGACAACGGGGACAGGGACGAGGACGAGGACGAGGTTGGGGGGAGAAGAGCCAGGCAGTACAATTAACAGAAAATAAAATGTTTAGCCTTTAGTTAAAACTCTAGAAGCTGCCAGCAATTTAATTGTTTGCCAGGCAACTCTACACTTTTGTTAAAATTTAATTAAATGGCATTTGCATATTTTAAAACAGGACCATAGAACTGACCTTTGAAAGACAACCCTCGTTGGTCGCGTGGCTCACGTAAAAGCAGAAAATATTTGAAAATAGTACGATTTTTAAACAATTTTATGGCACTTTCTTTTCGCATGAAAAAAAATACTGATAAGCACTTATCGCACCTTGATTGCAATCGCACAAGTATGAAGTACAGAAATTGATAATGCATCATCGCCATTCAATCAAGCAAACTAATTAAATGATTGGGCTCATTACATTTTACAAATCATCTACAATTGCCTATAAAGAAGAATACAAATCTAAGTGATTATAATAAAGTCGCTAATGATGAAGAAACGCTGCAAATTTTTTTAAATATTAACTTAATTGGAGTCTTAATTAAAGCCGCCAAACACAATACAGCGCACGTTTGCTATACATTTTTAAATAATAATAAGAATGTTGAATAAATTATATATTTAGTAAGCAAATCTTTTGATTAATATGAATTACTTCCATAAAGTCTTCACAAAAAAGCTTATTTATTGTTAAACAGATGAGAATTGGAGCTAAAAACAAGCCATTTGTTGCTGGATATTCATTCATGTTTTCATCATTAAGCAGTTAAGCTACAATCAGCTTATACTTTTAATGAAAAACCACTTTATAATCTATATGGCTCATACAAGACTGTGGGTAAAATTTTAATCGCTTACAACGATGATAAGCGGTAATCCTGTTCAACTGCTTACAACGCAGATATAGATATTTGACATTAACATTTTCAGCAGTTGGAATTCTTAGCCAGCTTAAACCTTTTTCGCTTTATGTGAAAAGCAAGCAGATTTGGCTAGAAAGTCCGGATAATACCCTAAAAGATTCTTGTTAATGGTACTTTACATTAATCGTAACTCAACAATTGACGTAGAAGACAGATGAGTAGTACTTAAGATTTCATCTGAGATATGAACAAATAATTAAGTGAGTCAATAAATAGATACATTCCAATATTATAGATTAATAAAGGCTAAACATAATCAGAACCCTGATTAAAGCCTAGTATATCTCAAGTTTGTAAGTCAACATTGTACTTGCATGCTTTGAGTGAAAACATTGATATAGCCTGAGTGTAAATGATGTACCTCAACAGTCCATTTTCTAGACAATACACCTCCAACGATCGACAATATCAGTCTGACTTCTGACGCGACAACAGCACATCAACAGCCCCAAAACATCAAATATCAACGAATTTTATCAAAATTTCTTATCGGTGATGCTACTGCAGCTGTGCAAATCACTGCTACTGCTGCTGCTGAGTGCCCCTAGGCTGCTGGCCGAGTGTTAGTGAGGAGCCCATGTCATGTCGAGGCATTTGGGAAAAGTATGACTCATTACCTCGTTTTCACTTGCAGCACCTAAATGCTTCCATTTCACCTGGATCGGGCCCTACGAGAATAAAACGCACATTGTCTACGAGAGCTGCGACTTACGAGTTGGCGAATTTAACGACATACCCTGCGAGATGCCATTGGTTGCTACACGTGAGTAGAAATTTTCCCATTAAGACCCTATAAATGGAAATGTGTATTGGTTTTTTGGCAGTATAGTCGCTCAAGTCAAGTCGAAACTATTCACTTGAATTATTTTTTGTGGTATCAGGGTTTTCATTTGCATTCCTAACGAACTAAAAAGTTATCTTCTTATGTGCCAAAGCTTTATACCCTTTACTGTGTCCTACAAGAGATCTTTTTTCCTCCTAAGACCTAGTCCCGCAGTCTATATACAATACTTACTACATAATTGTAAAAAGCGCTTTTATTTAGTTTGTATTTGGTTTGTTCATACTATAAATCACAATTGGCCATCATATATAGTTTCTATAATTCAAATTGTGTTCGATGAATAAAACCTCATTGCCAGATTTAAGCACGATGATTGATACAGACAGACGAACAGACGCCCATCGGTATTACACACTTATACATAGAACGAAATGCCTTTACATTTAATACGAAGGGCTGTAATCATTATAAGTGGTATTTTGAAATTTATAATTTTTTGCAATTTTTCACAATATAATTTTTATTCCCTATGAAAAATGGAAAATTACCCTGAAGTCGAAGAATAAATATATATCATCATTAAAATAAGATAAACCGGAAATGAACATACACGTCTATCCATCCGTTTAAGCTATAACACCTAGATCAAACCCTTTATGTAGATATTATTTTATGTAGCTGTGTATGTATTTTTGCTAATCGGAAAATCCGTTTTTATACTGTCTCTCTATGTTCTAAAGTGTTATCTTCGATTCATGATAATGTGTTAGTGCAATATAGTTCCTCGTAGAAAAGTAAAGAAGCGACATGTTGTCGCAATTATGAGTAGCTATAAGGATTAAAACATTTTTAAATTCATATTTTCTTTGTAACAAAAAACAAAAAACGGAATTGATTTAGTTACACAAATGTATAACATTACTGTTTCAAAAGCAACAATCATCCTCTAAAGAAACATTAAGAGTATGTATGTGTCTTTGTCTTTTTGTGCTAGGAGGATACGATTGTGAATTGAAACTTTTAAATATTTGTTTTTAACTTTTCGCAGTCAACGACACAGTACCAGACGTGAAGGCGATGTGGACAAATCCCAGCATTGATCGTGATAATTATTTATGCAACATGACGCCCGGCTTCTCATGCGTTAAATACTCTTATGTCTTTCGAGGCGGCAGTAAGTGAATTCGCATCGATATGTACAGATCTAGATCGGTTCATGCTTGTCTGCCTTTTCCACTATAGTACAAAACATCACCTATATGTGTGCACGCGTCAATAACACCAACGGCTGCTATCGCCAGACCCATGAGTCGGGCATGCAGGTGGAGGCATGTGTCTGCAACTCCAAACTAGGTCTGATGCCCTGCAATAGTGCGGCAAACGTGCAGCTCGACACGTTCTATCACAATTTGGGCTTGGCTGTTTGTTTGCTCAACACTTTGTTATTGTTAAATAAATATAATATAATTTAAAAACTTGCAACGCTCGTACTATCAGTCAGTACTTCAATAGGCGGAAGTGCATTGGGAATCGACTTAAAGCCCCCATTCAAAATCGGAGGGATGGGGAGTTGCAAATAGTCTTTCCATGTATTGCGTCACTTCCGCGCCTTTCTGTGCGAATAGTTTGTACAATTTATGAGCCCTTTTATGAGCCATTCACAATTTTTATTGTCCCATGCATGGCGAATACGAAATAATATTATTTATCTAGTTAGAAATAAATCAAATGCCAAGTACATACTGTAATAACTGATTACAATTTTGATTCTCAGATATGTTAAGAATTGCAAAGAAAATATATAAATGGCAATGACAGCGACGATGCAATGAAGAGTAACATAACAAATTTCATTTATTTTCGAGAACTGATAGTTTTGCAAAATTAGTTTATTTTAATCAAAGCACTATCAGGAATGATACTGAATGTTCTTTCATAGGTAAATGCAATTTTTCGAAAGGATATTAATCCCACGGTATGAAATCATGCCATTTTGGGGAGCGGTTGTTGTTGATACGCGATTTTTTTCAAGAAATTAGTCACAAGTGTCGACTGTGCAACAAGTGCCAACTTCCTTCTTCACGACATTCGGCCCGATTGCGATTTATTTATTTATTTTTTAGCTATGTAGATATTAGATTAGATGCTCCTATGCAACGGAATCTGTTACAACAGTTATAAATAATGTTATAATATTTAATTGTTGGGAACAGTAATGTTATGCTTGCGAAAAAAATAGATCAACAAACAGTGCTTAGCTTGAAGGAAAAATAATAATATTATTATTATTAACAGTTCGGCTGCAATGTAAAATGTACAGGCGAACAAATATTTAGCTATAGCTACGAGACCTTAAGCTATAAATAATATATATTAATGAATATAAAGCATTTAATTCTTTCGTTCAAATAAATAAATGATGTGAAAATTTGCTTCATTTTTCTCTTGATATTAAATAAAAATTTTTCGTACATACTGTCTATTAGAAAAACCTCTTATACAATCTTCTGAGCATATATTCATAGATAGCAGCCATACTGGCCAACCATCAAGACAAACAAAACTAGCACTCTACGGGGCCAACTGGGCGTATGAGCAATGCGTTTCACAATTAAAGCAACATCTAAACTGGTAGTCATTGGCCTCGACAGAGATCAAAGATTATGGCAGGCAGTAAAACGCATTCAAATATGCCTATTTTAATGCCTCATATTGCGTTTGTGGCACGCAATGAAGCTCAATTCAGTTGCAAGCATGATGAGAAGGGAATTAATTGGAAACACGATGCTGATGCTACGCTTCGTGCCGTTCTGCGCTCTGCCGTTCTGTGCTTTTATTTGAACAGCAGGCAACTATATCGATAAAATTTATTTATTTTGTATTTGTTTTATTCCGCTTTTTAAATGAAATTACCAGCCGCCATTTGTAAATTATGGCGATTCGAGAATGCGTATCAACACTTGGATGCCTTCAATTTTTTCTCCATAGAGTGTTCAGTCGACTTTTATTTAAATTACATGTGCTGCTATTTTTTTTTTTTAGTTTAAAGTGCCACACACACACACAAAAAAGAGGGTGTGGAATTCAACATTTAAACAAATTTTATGAAAAAGGTTCAATATAAATGAAAAAGCCAAAAATGCGATTGAGGCTTTGGCTTTGGTGCTGAGATGCAATTCGACTTTAATTTGCAGTCGCATGCATAACTAACCAATATATTGGCTTTTATTTATGTATAAACACAAACAAATTGCGCACAATAGTTAGCCACAATGCCATGAGCATCATAAAAACCCCTCCCTAATGCGTCTGCCACCCTATTTGTCAATGCACAGGGCCAGTTGCAAGACCATGGCGCTTATCTTGCCAAATGCCACGCGTCGCTCTGCCATTGTGGGTGTTAAAGAATAAATAAACATAATGCCGCTCCTGTTGTTGTTGAGTGCACCGTTGTTATACACACATACTATACCTTGTTTATGCACTAGCCATGCCCGTGTTGTTGGTGTTGTTTTTATTTCATCTGATCATGTTTTTGTTGGCTGCTATTTGTTTAGCATGTGCCTAGACGGTGTTATTATGTACTGTCATTAGATAGAAAGCCAGGCAGCCGTTTATACAACGTGTGTAATTTATATGTCTGCGCTTGCTGGTAAAACAACAGTTAACAACAACAGCAACAACAACATTTTCGACTATAGCTAAACCTGAATAGCAGTCAACTAAAAGTCATTCATTTCAAAACATAGGCGCAGAGTGATGACAAACAAAGGATCGTCGACAATTATTGAGCCGAACGTAGTGGTAGGCCGTCGACATCGAAAACTGATGAAAACATCAATAAAGTGAAAGAGAAAAATTGATCCATACCCGCAAATTAACCATCAGGGAGCTGGCAGAGTCAAGTCAAGTCAAGTCTGTTTCACTGCTTTTTAATCTGAGTCCATAGCTTTTGGATCCTTTCAGGATATGTATTGTTGTTAATGATGTGGGATTTCGCTGCAATGTTGGTTTCAAAGGACCTGAATTTCGTTAACATCGCAAAAGTAATGATTTTTGACCAAGAACGAAACGAATACCATCCAAAAGCCAAAACTGTAAAAAAAACACTACGGGAAACGCATAAAGTCAAAGACAGCTCTGATGGCTGTACCGAAAATAGAGCTCTAGAAATTTTAGGAGAGCTGAACGAATGCAGTAGATAGGAATTACTTTGAGGGCGACAATATAACTTTTGATGAACAAACTTGTATTCTGAATTTTCTGAATATATGTATCCTGGTTACATTTTGATCAAGGATCACAGCTTAAGTCGGGCAGGTGCTTAAAAAACTTTGAAATGACAAAATACAAACGATATCAAAACAAGAGAGAACGCTACAGTCGAGCAAGCCCGACAGTGTAATACCCTGTACCCAGGTAAACTTCCGTCACTGAGTTATATGCGCCCAAAGCAGCAGCAAAAACAGGAAGAAGAAGAGCGAACTTGTTGCTGCAGTTTGGGGGGTTGTACTGGCGAGAATTTGTTTCGCTAATAACTTTTCTTAGAATTGACCGAATTGAATAAAATTTTGAACAACAGTAGACAATTATATATAAATTATGTGTGCAAAGTTTGGTTTAGGTAGCATTTGAAATGTGGATGCTATTGACGAAATTCTGTAGCGGGGGAAGGGGGGGAAAATTAAAAAAAATAAAATAAACTCGTCCTTTCTCGGACCTAGGAGAATCTGGATGCCAACTTTGGTTATTCTAGCTTTTATAGTTTCTGAGATCCTCGCGTTCATCCAGACGGACGGACAGACGGACAGACGTACAGACGGACGGACGGACATGTCTAGATCGATTTCTCTCGTCATGCTGATCAAGAATATATATACTTTATGGGGTCGGAGATGCTTCCTTCTGTATGTTACATACTTTGCACAAACCTAATATACCCTTTTTACCCTACGGGTACAGGGTATAAAAAGTGTAAATGCCAGATAACTACATTAGATTATTGTTTAATTATTTAAGGACGAACTTTTTTGTTTTCCCATTCTTTCGTGCAGCCTTAAAAAAAGTATTTTAAACAAAACTAAATTAAATTAAAATAAAATATAATAAAAATTGACTCCCATTTTGTTGGATTATTGATAGAAGTCACTAATTTGTTGGTCATTTATTTCACTTATGGCTTAGCTCCTGTGTTTATAGCAAAAGCTAGACCTAGACAAAAAATTAAAAAAAAAAACTACAATTTCAAACTCTTACTCACACTTACCCTGATCGTATATGTTTCTACCAGCCATTGTTCAGCTCTGCATATTATGCCTACAGTAGGTCGTTCTTTCCTTATACTCTTACTAAATATTAAATTCAAATTAATTTGCAAGAGATTATAAAAAGCTATAAATAGTTAAAACAAAACTCATATTTCAGAAACGCATGGTGGCATAAGTATTTTGACATATTTTTCAGATATAAATTATAAACAAAAGTAAATAGTTGTACAACATATGGTTTTTTTATTAATAGAAAATATACCCTCCCTACGCAATTAAACCTATTTGCAGCCGCCTGGAAACAGAATTGACCAACGTTTGGAAATATTCCTACGAAAAACAATTCATTTTCCAATTCGCCCAAGTAAAACACAAAATTTTTTCAAAATACCTATGCCGTCGCTTTTGGTATTTTGTGGGTCTATAACGTCTCTGAACCCAGCTGGCCATAGAGCCATCGGCCAAGCAGCTCTCAAATTTTTTGATCCATTATAACAACAATTTTCCTAAATTTTCCAAACAATTGCTTAGATCAGTATTTAAGTAGCTTTGCATAACTGCTAGGTATATATTTCAACTAATGTTGGCACGGCATTTATTCGGCATTTCCAAATAAATATATGCATGCAATTTGTCGCTCCTGAATGAATCATTAGCACTGCATTTCTGTATGCATTCATGCATAAATCCCGATTTGAGCCGGTGCCATGCCAGAAATATATTTTTTTCGCTTTTTTTGGTTAGCTAGAAAAACTAGAAGCGCGAACTATTAAATGCGGGACCCCCTAAAAAGGAGAGAGAAAGCGAAACAAATGCACCACAAAACCACAACAAATTTAGCACGCCGCTTGGCCGTGTCAAGCTCGACTGCATTCAAATGCAATGCCGGACAACCGAAACAAAATGGCGTCGTCAGGCGGCGCCACTGAATCGTGACAAGCAAAGCAAAACATTGGCGCAAAAAAATGGAGCACGGTCGAAAGAATGCGCTCAAATATTAAGCATACGGCATGTGCACCGATCCCCCCTCCCCCCAATTCGCACCCACAAATGTTTCGATATGCAATCGAAATACGTTGGGCAATGCATGCAAATGAAAACTGAGGCGATGGCACTGCCATTAATTGCCAATTTCTAGACAAGGCTGAGCCGCAAAAGCCCCAAAACACCAAGCTCCCACAACGCTCAAACAACACCCACAATTTCACGTGT